GCGGGCGCACGATCTTCCAGGCGGAGTTGAGGCGGGTGTGTGAGCTTGTTTTTTTTTGTGGTTGGGGGGGGGGGGGTGGGGGTTTCCCCCCCCCCCCCCCCCCCCCGACGAGAGCCCCCGGGCGGAGAGCCACAGGAAGAGGCAAGTGAGGGGGAAGAGAGAGAGAGAGAGAGGGAGGATGGAGCAGCGAAAGGAATGTCAGCTGTGGCAGGCCGGAAACGAGGCAAGCCGAGGAGGGAGGCGCGAGGAAGGAGAAGCGACGCGAAGGACGCACGCCTCGGAAATGAACTCCACGCTGATGCACAGGACGCGCGGGGACACAAACTGCCCGGAGCCATAGAGGGACAGCTGGTTGAGCACGGCCGACAGGAGGGGCGGCAGGATGTTCTTGTTGAAGTCCTTGGCGAAGGCCTGGGTCTCGGCATTGCGGAAGCTGGTGGCATTGACATAGCGCTGGTACACGTAGGAGAGGATGCGCAAGGCCCACTTCTTGGCACGCCACCAGGGGCCCATGCCGCGCTCGTGCTGGGTCGGCAGCGAGTCGAAGTCCGGATGCGGGGGGACCGGGCGGTGGATCAGCTGGAACATGCGCTCGCACCACTGGCGGAAGGTGGCAATCTGGGCCGAGCCGAAGTTCATGACCAGGGTGGTGCGGTAGATCTTCATGATCAGGCGCACGGCGGTGGCCGCCTCGTCGGTGTCCATGGCGATGCAGGCCGTGAAGAGGCTCACCAGGGAGGGGGACACCAGGTTGAACAGGTCCTGAATGGGGTTCTGCTTCTTGTTCTGCTTGTACTGGAAGGTGGACATGGTGGCGTACAGCGCGTGCAGGCCGCCGATGATGACCGACTGGTGGTCGGCGGTCATGGCCTTCTCGATGTCGCCAATCAGCCCGGGCCAGTTGGCCGGGAAGTCGCTGCGGATCATCACACCCAGCGGCGGCAGGAGCAGCTGGCGCAGGCGCTCCGGCGAGGTGGTCACCACGGGGACGATGCGCGCGCGCAGGGCCTCGCGATCAACCGGGCCGATCTCACGCCCGAGGGGATCCGGCTGGGTGCGCGACCAGAGCGAGCGGATGAGGTTCTTGAGGTTGATGGCGGCTGTGGCAGGGGGGGGGGG